CCCACTCAAACAGAGTCAAAGGCATACACTTGCAGGCACCTTCATGATTCTGAATAGGTCAAGGTATATTTAGCCCCAGGCTCTGTTGTTCCTATCTGGAACCTTTCATGAATGTGAATCAATGACAAAATGCTTCCCCCCAAATGTATATTTCCAGTATTACATGAAGTGGGCTAGATGATATATATCAGTATGTGTGTGTGTGTCTATGAAACTAGAAGTGTACCTTGGAATGCCTTTGAGATAAAAGGGTTCTCTAAATGTAAAATGGTGAGAGAAGAAATTATGTCATTAATATAATTGAATTAAGATAAGAAGGATAATCTAAATGTTATAGGTCAGTCAATATATCCCCTATTATGATGCCATTATCCTATTGTAAGTATGGGGATGCAGGGTTTTTTCTTCTTTTTTTTTCAATATAGAAAAGTCCTTTAAAACAATAGCTTAATACACTATTTGAAGTTTTTTCCCCTATTTTCCTATACAACCCACATTCACCATAAAATAATATATTTGGAATATACAATTGTTGTGCAATGGTGTAAAATCAAAGGACTTAATAATCACATGCACGTATGAGTTTCCAGGTATCTATTATTTAAGTTAATGGGGGAAGCAGGGTCATGCACAATGAAGAAACTTATATTTTGTAGTGTGTCTGGTCTGGGCTATTATTTAAATTGCCTTCTCTGCCTTTCATATATATATATATATACCAGAAATATGCTGAATGACAGGAAAAGCCAACCTGAAATAAAAAACCTACTGAGGATAATCCACAAAGTGGAGAAATCAAATCCAGGCACATTTTACTCTCTTACATTTTTTTTTTTTTACAGTTTTACCCTTTAATGCTTTCTTTTTCCCTTTAGGGAAAAGACTTGAGAATCAGCACAGCCCAAGAAGAGGTACATCTGAAACCATCTGAAGACCATATTTATAAATTGTCACTCAAAGAAGAATCATTTACCATACATGGTACAAATGTTCCAGTCAGTAGAAAAGAGTTTATGACAGTGCTTGTGGATTTACAGAGAGTCCTCATACAAACCACAGTCAGCCTTGGGGTGGATGCCATCTACAGGTAAACTCAAGAACTGCGTCTCCCAGTGTTGGCACGTTTACCTTGGGGCCAACATGCCTGTGTTAGAGGAGTGACCTTGCAGACCCCTGGGGTTGGTTGTTTTCAATTTGTAGATAATAATGGATCACCGGTGTTCTGAAAAGTATTTCTATTGAAGCTTTAAATTTTTAAATACCTAAGATGAATTTGGCTTGGCCCTTTTTTAGTATTGGTGATTCACTGGCAATTCTGCCAGAACATATGATAAAAATGACCCCTAAACGGAAAAAGGCTATACTGGAAAATAAAGTTTCCTTTATGGTGACTCAGACAGTGGAAAACTCAACAGATGTAATTCCAGCATTCCCATATTCAGAAAGTGGTTTGTAAAATATTTTCATCCATTAATTAATTAACTAGTTTCTCACTTAAGAGTATATAGTTTGTAATAAGAAATACAAGCACCTTCATTTAAATAGCCCCAAATCTCTTTCTAAAACACTGTAAGACTATACTGGTGGCATGGTATAAATGAGAGAGGATGAGCTTTGGAGCCAACCAGACTAGGAATCCAATAAGCTCTATTGCTGATTATATGTGTGACCTCTGGCAAGTGATTGGTCCTTGTGGAAAATGACTTGTTCAAGTATAAAGTGGAGACAGTGGTGCCTACCCTTCAGGGTCACTGTGAAAATTATATGTGATAATTATGTAAAGTGCTTATTACGTAGAGCACTTTCAAAGGTTAGTTCCTTTTTGTTCTCTATTTCTTTTCCTTAAAGAGAGAATTCCCTGACTTCAACCAAACATGCCCATGTCTGACTTACTATAGGCTGCTATGCTTTTTTTTTAAAACAATGACATTTGTCTGACAAAATGTAAACTTCACCTGTGTCTGAATGAGCTCTGTTTCTTTTTCCTGTTCTACTCTGATAATAAATAACAAGTTATCATGGCAACTACCTTTCAAATCAGATTAAGTTAAATGATCGATTTGGACCCCAAACTGACGATGTGGCATACCCATAATCAAAGCAGTGCCTCCAATACTAGTTTATCTACAAGAGGATTTTTTTTTATTTTTATTTTTGCTGATGGTCCCCCACCCCAACATTTGCTTGTGCTGCCTAGTTTTTCTTTTAACTAAGTGTAATCATCATTACCATCTCCCAAAGGAGGGATCTGCAGATCTATAACAGAACCATTGCCAAACAATGTACCTCTTTTGCATAGGCAATTCCGCTAGAAGCTGGGCTAAAATGCCATGAAGATGAGAAACGGCACTTAGGAATTAATTATGTTTTTCCCCATTCAGTAAATAGAGATTGTCATGATGTTTAAACACTAAGGAGATGAGTGCTCTGGCTTTCAGAATGAATGACAACCAATTTGACAAAAAGTGACTAGGGGGCTTATCTATTTTTGTCAGCATTGCTTCTCAGACTAGTTAATCCAAAGGCATTTCCCTCTGATTTATGTCAGATGATTTCTGTGTCTACCCATCTTAAAATCATCAGTTTCATTGGAAGTCCTTGAAGTTTCCCCATACGCAAGCGACATGTTCGCAGAGCATGTCTGTGTGAACTGACACGGCAGCTAATCCAAGTAGGTGGCTGCTTTCTGGTTGAAGGAGCAAAGGCCAACGTCAGATTTGAATCTCCAGCCCACTTCAGGTGAGCTGAAAGTCAGCACGAATCCTGAGTCAGTAAGCTTGTTACATTTTATTTATCTCTGATCTACAAGTGGATTGATTCATATTTGTAAAACATTACTTGAATTGATTTCAACTTGTCTTGCACAGCAGGCTTCCGACTTGGCGTATAGTTTGTGTGCAAGCACAAGTACATTGAAGTGATCTCAACAAAAATTCACGTTTAGGGTTATTCAAGATTTCCTTCTGTGGTAGTTCTCTCAGCAAATGGTCTTAGATTCCTTCCGTTACGTGGTTCCAGTAGTCCCCCCTTGTCCACAGAGGGTGCATTCCAGGACCTGCAGCGGATGCCTGAAACTGCAGAGAGCACCAAACCTTATATATACTATGTTTTTTTTCTATGTATACATGCTCATGACAAGTTTCACTTATAAATTAGACACAGTAAGAGATGAACAAGAATGACTAATAATAATAGAACAATTATAATAACTTATTGTAACAAAAGTTATGTGATGGAAGTCTCTCCCCCCCCAGTAATTTTTTTTATTTTTTAATTCAAACCTACTCCTTCCATCTGTGTAACCAGCCCTACTCGCTGAAGTCTTCATAAGATGCAATGCTTTCTGGTGCAACACATTAGCCCCTAGTCAAGAACTTTCACCTTTTCACTTGAAGGAAGCACTTTACAGCTTCTCTTTGTCACACCTGAATTGCCAGTATCACTACCCTTGTGCTTGGGCACCATTATTCAGTAAAATGAGGGCTACCTGAACACAGCACTGCCGTGCTCAACAGTTGATCTTATATCCAAGGCAACTACTATGTGGCTACAGGGCAGGTCGTGCATGAAAGCATGGATTATACTGGACGAAGGAATGACATGTCCCAGGCAGGGCAGAGCTAGAGGGTGTGAGATTTCATCACACCACTCAGAACAGAGCACAGTTTAAAACTTATGAGTTGTTAGTTTCTGGAATTTTCCATTCAATATTTCAGAGCATGGTTGAGCGCGGGTGATTGAAACATTGGAAACTGAAACGGCAGAAAGAGAAAGGATAAGGGAGGAACTGCTGTAGATGGCATTGAATAGTGAAAAGGGAATTGAGTACAGGTCAGGATTTTTACTTTTGTCCTCAACTCAGCTATTTAATAGTTTTAGCCATAAATGTAGCTTTGACCTCTTTGGGTTTCAGTCCCCTCATCTATGAAATAAGTAGGAGGGCAATTGTTTGCCAACTTCAAAATGTCACTGTGGAATTAGAGGGCTGTGAATGCACTTAGCTAATGGAAAGTCAGCCCAAAAGTCTGAAACAATTCTATCTGACCTGCATCATTCCAGGGAACATCTTCTCCAAATACCATTAAGATTTGGAGGTACCTAGAATGAAGCACATACTAATATTTCCAAAATTGTGACAGTTTTGCTGTCATTCTTTTCCAGAATTCTGAGAGGCACATACAATAAAATTAATTGATTTCCTTCTGTTTTCCTCTTTTATAAGATGAAGATAAAAATAGAAAAAACTTCATTCTTATTTCAAGAATGTAAGAGAAATAAACTTAACTGCTTATCTTTCTCTTTTAATTTCTCCAAACCTTAAATTTTTAGTAGCATCCTTGATGTTGAACTAAAGCAAGGAGCCTATTCAGCTTTTCTTTGACACCTACTCAGTATAGAACTTGGCAAAAAAAATATAGTTTTCTTTCACTTTATAGTAGATATGAATACAGTTCATCAACTTTTCACTCTCATCCTCTTAGAATATTTTATTTCCCTAACCTTTGAGGGTAGATGTCATCATATGATTTGGTTTGGCCAATGAAATGTGAGCTGAAATGATGCATCACTTCTTCACCCTCCACCCCCTTCCGCCAAAAACACATTGACTTGCCAGTATGAGACTCTCTGGGTCTTATTAATCTACCAGATGATCAGAACAGCCAGAAATATTGAAAGCACATAAAGGTCAGATGCCCTGAATAGTCATCCAAACCTGTAGAGGATTTTACATGAGTAAACTCGTTTTCTGTGAATCCACTGAGAACTTGGAGTTGTTGGTTACAACAGCGTAACTGAGCCATCATAACTTTATTGCGATGCTCTCATGCATCTTTATTGTTTGAAAATAAATACAGGATCTTTTCAGATGTTTTCACATGACTTTTAGAGTAAATTCGGGGGACATTTTTTATATCAAAAATATTACTCAGAATTTATATAATAAATAATCTAGAAAATCCTTATAAACAAAGGAGTTTTGGTGATTATAGAAATAGTGTCGATAGTATACTTTTTCCTTTTGAAATTAATGATGCAGGTGATTTTCTGTATAATTTGAAGAAATTATACTGATAAGGACTCTAGGACTTAAAAAAAAATGTATGCAGTTGCTAGGTACCAAGCTGTTGGTAACAGGTTCAGCCAGGATTTAAACCCACATGTGTTTCCTCCCCATAATCTTTGGCTGCCTCCCAAATCTGTTCTGTAAATATTGGATTCATTCAGTCTGCCAACATTTACTGAGCACCTTCCCTGTGTATCTTTCTAAAGTCTCAGCTCCCTCTTCTGTAAAATAGCAGAAACAATATTTAACTTTCAAGATTGAAGGCTAAGTAAGAAAACGGTGTATCTAAAACACCTGACACGCTATCTAGCATATGTTGGGAGGCAATGTAAGGTAACAAGATTATCATCAGTTTTGGAGTCACACTTGGGTTTAAATTTGTGCTGCACCATTTGCTAACTGTATTACATGGACAAGGCACTTTACCTCTCTGAGACCCAGGTTCTTCAATTGTAAATGTGGACAAAAACATAATTACTATGTTGGGTCCATTGATGCTTAAAGGAGATGTCCATCAAGCCCCCATTATAATGCACAGAAGATAGCAGACACTCAGTACCTAATGATTATTTTGATGTGATAGTTCTAGGCTAAGCAAAGAGGATACAAAGGTGGATAAATGCTCGTTGAATTCAAAGAAGGCAAAGTCCAGTATGAAAGGCAGATGCACATTACAATAGTTTAATAGTGTAAAAAAAAGTGTGCACAGTGCCCACTGGTGGGACTAAGGTAGGAAGAGGTGAATTCAGATATTAACATTTAATGTATTTTTGATGAATAACTGCAACAATATCAAATTCTATCAGTTATTTCCCTTATTTAACATGGGATTTAGTGGCCCACTCAGACGTTGACTGAGCCACTAAAGGATTTTGTTACCTTCTGAGGAAGGGAGTGAAAATTATGGGGCTCCTTGAGTTTAGTACCTGTGGAATTTCCACAAGGCAGAGGCTGAAAGGAGTTCCCAGCCATCATCTTATGTTTGGATAAAACTAAGTAGAACGAAGCACCCGAACAACAATAAAATCTCTATCTGGTGGCTATCCTAAAATAACATTTATTTAAGTAGAACTAAATGAAGGTCAATATATAAAAAGTTGGTAGAAAAAAAATAATTTTAAAAAAAGTCTCAAGATAAAAAATCTGGTTGTTGTAAAGATTTTTTTTTTAATTTTAAATTTTGGTTTTTTAGTGCAGCATAACATACTTAACTCTGGTGGAAAATATAGTAAAACAAAAATATTGAGAAAAATATTTACATCAGTATCAGGACAATATTTTTTTTATATGATTCCAACATTTTTAATATTAGTATAATTATGTATTTTCTCTTCATCCGTCAGCTTATCTGTATATCCAAGTCATAAAAAGGAGAAATAGCCAGCTAAAACATTTGACTTAGTTGACAAATCTTTGATAGTTCAGGCATCTCGAAACGTTAGTACTTTTTATTATTGCCAGCATTATGTATTTAAATGAATGCAGCCTGGTTGCAAGAAAAGAAAATGACCATATTGGAAAGAGGGGGGGAAAACACCCCAAACTGCAGCCTTCTTCATGAGTAACACTTAAAACTGTTAAACACATTAAAATCCCATTTAACAAATAGCAGAACCTAATGAACATTGAGATTGCTCAGTGAATACTAATGTGGAATATTGCTGGGAAGGATGTTTGCGTGATAAAATTTCTCATAGCTCAAATGCTTACATAGATTAAGGAGAGGAACATCTGCTGTTCAAAGACAAATGAAATTTGGCAGTTCATTGAAAACATTTTTGTTTTGTTATGTTTTAAATTGTTCTCCAAGTACTCAATTACTCTTTTTTTTTTTTATTTTGTAACTTCTTAATACTTTCTTTACATTTTGCTTATCAAATTTTATATGGAAAATCCTGGGACTATATCTGTATACAATTGACCAGTCTGCTATTTGGTAAATTGTGATCGTCTTTCATATGATAAATTAACTAGTCTCGTAATCATGAAATCATCTAATTTTGAAATTGAAGTGATGAGAAATGTAAGTTTGTCATATGAGAGTCCATTAATTGCAGGCAATTAGCTGTCACAGTATCTTCAGATGAGTTCTAGCCTTTGGCCTCAGATCTTAATTCTAAAATTTTCTGTTTCTTTTCTTTGTTAGATCAAATTAGCAATTTGTCTTCTACTTACCTAATTTTATTCATCTGTAGTATGGATACTAAGCTTTAGTGTATCATTTTTTATGGAATATGTTACTAATTATTAGTAATATAACTAAATTCTATTCATCTATCCACTCATTTATTCGTTTATGTATGTATGTATGTATGTATGTATGTATGTATTTAGTCTTGTATCCATCTACTCATTCATCCATGTATTTATGTATCACCATTTATCTATCCTTTCTATCCATCCATCCAACAAAAGCACATTGAGTATATATTGAGATAATCAGGCGATGTCTATAGATGATTAGACAGGGCGCCAGGGCCTTTGTTCCCAAGGAGTAGCTCATAAACTCATGTCAACATAAGCAGCAACTATGTCCTTAGTTTAGTAACTTCCAAAGCTCATGTTGTGTTCAGAAAAATTGCCAGATACAGAAATTCCACTCCTACATATATATACCCAAAAGAATTAAAAACAGGTACTCAAAAAATACTTGTACATCAATATTTATAACTATTTTCAATAGCCAAAAAAACGGAAACAGCCAAACATCCATCAACAGAGGAAGGGGCTATCAAAACATGGTGTATTCTCGAAATACAGTATTAGCCAGAAAAAAGAATGACGTACTGATACATGCTAAGACATGGATGGAAGATGAAAATATTATGCTAACAGAGGGAAGCCAAACACAAAAGATAATGTATTGTATGATTCGATTTGTATGAAATACCCAGAATAGGTAAATCCATGGAGAAAGAAAGCAGCTTTGCGCTTACCAGGGGTTGGGAGAAGAGTAGCATAGAGAAGATTGCTTAATAGGGTTGTTGTTGGTGTTGTTTTGACTAATGAAAATGTTTAGAACTAGATACAGGTGGTGGTTGCACAACATTGAGAATGTACTAAATGACATTTTAAAGTGGATAGTTTTATGTTATGTGAATTTTCACCTCAATTTAAAAAAAAAAATTTCCAGTGACACTTCATGTACAAGTTTATTTAATGAAGAAGAAGAAGAAAAAAAGACCATTTAGAGATTTTCTAAAAATCCCTGTGTAACCTGAACACTGTAAAAGAGTGATTTTTACTGCTTGCCGGTGTATGACCTTCTGCCAGGTTGTCTAAGCTGTGTCCCCAGAGGAGAAAGCATTCAAGAAACAGTGTTGGATGAGTTCATCCGTAGCTAAAGATAAACTGCTTGTCTTTAGAGGATGCCAGCAGACAATTTTAGCACTTGGCCATCCCGTTCCAATGCCTATTTCCTGAGATTTAAACTTGATTTTGCTTTTCTACTTCTTGATCATGTATGGATTCATACATATTTCCAGGTACTATCAAAGGTCTAAGATTTGTAAAGTGGAGGTAAAAGCAATAAAGACTTAGAAACTTGTTGCTGAAAAGCTTACACCTTTGTGAAAGGTTGTCACTTTTGAAGATACATTTAATGAGCTTTGTTCTCTGGCTTGATTACCGTGTATGTTCCCAAAAACTCACAAGCTTTTTGGTAATTATGAATTGTCAACCAATAAAAATCTACCCACTCTTGAGAAATGAAGAAAAAATTCATGCCATACATAGCAAAAGTCAGTTGCATCCTTTGTGTGCTTAAAGGGTGCCATATTATGAGATACAGAGGTCTATCAATCATTTTTAAAACACAGTATTATCATTATGCATCAGTAGCAGTCATTTAATTTGGTGTTCTTAAGTTTAAAATTTATTTTAATTAGTTAAAATAACAAAAAGCTAGTCTGGGGGATACAAATAGTATATCTTACACTACTCATTTAGTCATTTCTATCCTATTTCTACAGTCAATGAGAATATGAAAAGCATACTAAGTAATACTCACCCACATGTGGTATAACTTATATCAAGAACTTTATATTTATTCTTTAATTTAATCCTTTAATCAAACTCATGATGTATGGACTCATAGTATCTCCATTACATGAGGCCTACAGAGATGAAGGACTGGCAAATGTCAGAGGCAGGGTGTGAACCCTGGTCTGTCTGACTCCTGAGTTTGTGTTCTTAAAGATGAAGTTTTTAAAAAGTCTTATATTTAAGAAATGGGGGAAAGCCAATAAGACACCAATAACAGTTATTTTAATTGCAAATGTATATCATTTACCTAATTTTTGGAAGGAGGTACGCACACACAATAGACTGCATACGGCTTATGTAACAGCATTTTTCAATTTAGCCAATCTAGCTTTGCACAAATACAATGTGATATCAAATCACTCTGCTAAAATCACCAGACTGTAAAGAAGTACTAATAGAATGAGACCCATAGACACAGAGAACAATGAATGCCATTTAGGCCCAGAACAAATTAACTAACTCAGCTAAACATCTGAGAATGTTTGACTTTTAAATACCAACGTACAGATTTATTTTTGAAAAAAATGAACCAAAATAACAAACTTCTTTCCTTCCTTCCTTCCTTCCTTCCTTCCTTCCTTCCTTCCTTCCTTCCTTCCTTTTTTCTTTCCATTGAATGACTCAGACTGAATATAACTTTTTCACTTGCCCTCTATTTTTTAAAATTCTGTGTACCGTATTCTTTCTCTACTTTATTCCTATTGTCTCCTTCTGCTTTTCTAGTTTAAATGTTAACACAAATCAGTCAAATGAATGTTTCCTGCTTTAAAAATCTTTTCAAATATGTGATTTCAAACTATCTCCAAAACAAGGAAATCAAAACACAGCCAAAAAAGAAAAAAGAAGAAATGAGCAAGAATGTTCTCATATCTTTTCAGCAGATAACGGTGGTAGGGGTTGTGCACGCTATTTACTAGGCAGACTTTACCTAATACAGTGAATGGCCAGAGCTTCAAGTCCTGGATATTCCTTAGCCTTCTTTCTTAACACAGGTGACTTGCTTATACTGACGTCATTGTTACTATACTATTCCCCAAGCTCTATAATACCTAGGAGCTTGTTTGCTTGCTCACCATCTCTTTTTCCCTCTGCTCAGGCTGAGCTCTGTTGGCCTTGACTCTGCCGTTCCCTATCCTACGGATGGAAGCACTGCGTCAGCTGTGGAAGTGTGCCAGTGCCCACCGGGGTACACTGGGTCCTCTTGTGAAGTAAGTTTGCAAGGGTATAGCCTCAGTGCAGTCTAAGTTCCTTCATCACTTCATTCAATAAACTGGTCTAAAAAGAGTCTCGTTTTTTTACATCAAAGATTGCACAAATGATAGGATATTACTTAAAGAAGGGACCTGAACATCTGCCAAAAGGTCAGAGCTTTCAAATAGAGTGAAACTCACACAATGTCTTCTTGAAATTATGTTTCTTTCTGAGGTATTTTGCCTTACTGTAGATGAAAATCTGATGTTTTCGTGTTTGTTCCCTATTTAATCAGTAGAAAAAAATAGGATGAGTGATAGCAGAATATGTATTAAAGTATTTCCCTTTTATTTCCACCTCAATACTTAGGAGAAATTTATCACTATTTTTTTTACTTTTTCTCCATTTTTTAAATCTTTTGTGCCACACTCTTTCTCTACTCTATTCCTAAGAATGCAGGAAAGTCACGCTTGTCTAAAGGACACTATCTTTAAAATATCAAGAACATAATATATGGAAGAAATACCTTGATCTTTGATTTGTTTAATAACTAAAGTTTGAGATATTTATTGTTGTCTTAATATTCTAGATTTATAATGATAGTAATGTTTCTTACTTACTACCAGTGTGTCATTTTAAGGTAAGTTTTATTTGCTTCTGTATATTTTCTTTAGGTAGTTTGAAAATTGATTTTACATGAAAACTGGTCAAAAATTGCAAACACCAATGTCCTGATAGAGAACATGGCTTGCAGATAAATGGGAGCTTACATCCTTTAAAAGTGAAGCCTTTAAGAAATCATTTGCGTGTGCCAAGATGTTCCACTTCAGCACACTACCCACTGTGCCATTTATAGAAAGACTCTAGGCATTGCCTTGCCCGCTCTCTTGTGCTTTGATATAACACATGCTTCAAGAGGATACACAGGGTTTAGATTCATATTTGTGACAAAAAGTGTCTTTAACTGGACTCAGATTTACCTATCTAACGTAAAACTAAATGTAATTCATCGAAGTACTCACTTTTCTAAAATTCACGTAGAGAAGAGAAAAATAACGGTGGAAATGAATTAGCTGTGTCAATGCAAATTTGACTTTCCATGTAAAATACGTGCTGTATTTGATGAAATGTATTCTTTTATTAAGAGCAGAGCAGTTTTTATTTCAAACAGAAAGCTCTCTTTGAACCTTTAAGTTCCTGTTTCAGTTGAAATAATAAATACCTTGATCTTGTTCTCGCTTTAATGCTTATTCTCACATTAGTAATTCTCAGTATTCCTCATCAACCTTTATGCAAGCTCCTAATGCCCACTGAATATAAAATTGTCCGAATATTCAAATTATTTAATTGGCTGTAACTTTTTGTTTCTTCTTTCCTCTCCTCAAAAATATTTATTAAGGGCTTTGGTAAATTATGCACTAGATGCTGAGGGGATTATCAAGAAGATTACACCATAATCCCTGTCCTTAAAGACTAACAATCTGTTTAGGGAGAAAGAATAAATACCTAGGAAACAGTGAATCACAGCACTATATAATTAAGAGACCAGTAAGTGGTGCAGAACATAAATGCAATACTCAGTCAAAGAGGTGAGCAATGCCAATGGAGAGACATGTCACAGAAAGTATCCTGGAGTGGAAAACCTCCAAATTATGTGCTAAATAATGATAATGGGGTAGGAAGAGAGACACGCTCAAGTGTGGAGGAGTCAGAAAAGAAGAAGAGGAGGGGTCATAAAGCTTCCTGTGCCTCTCATACAATAATTGTTTGATAAAGTTATTTTGAAGTCCACAACATAATTTCATTGAATCAGAAGCCCATGAATGCTGGAGCTCTAGATTTCTTGCAGACTTCCACATTCCCTTGCCCTCCAATGATTCCTTCTTTTCTTTTTCAAAACTTCCTATCCCTTGACTCGCTATTATTTATTCCTATCCTGTCCTGATTTTATTTGCTCTTTTACTGAGTTCATGAGGCTGGGCACTCTAGCTTTGTTTTCACTAATATCCACATATCTTTTAAGAACTGAGTGAACTACAAAGACCAGTGATGTCTTAATGCTAAATTGGCAGAAACAAATCGAACGACTCCATTATGAAATGATCCTCTTTAATTTCACATGGACCATTGCATTCATGGGATTTTACTCTAAGTGCAATTGGAAAATCACTGGAAGGCTTTAGGCTGAGTGGTGCCATGATTTGAGTTCTATTTTTTGAAAAAGTTGTTATAACTACTGGGTGATGAAGACATGTTATAGAGGGCGAGAATGGTTGATACGCTGGTGTGGCAGAGGGTAGTGAGGTAATGGTTTGTGTTGGGATAATGGCAGGCAATGTAGAAAGATATGTTTATTCTACTATATTTCGGTAGTGACACCAGTAGGACTTACTGAGAGACCACCTGCCAAAGCAAAGCTGAAAGAGATAAACAGTTTAAGAATGAGTCAGGTTACCAGCTGGAGGAATTGGGTGTGATGCCATTTACTGAGCTGAAGAAGACTAGGAGAGGAATAGCTAGAGGGGAGGTGAAACAAGCAGACCATCTTAGAAATACTAGGTTTGAGAAACCTGTGAAGTATAGATTTCAATGTACAATTAGAATATGCAGGTCTTGAACTTCGAATAGCTGTCTGGTCTAGAGATATGTATTTGGAAAACCTCATCAGCCGTGGGACTGCATAAAATTACCTAGGAAAAAAGTGTGATAAAGAAAGAGATAATTGACTAAGTCCCCAGGAACTCCTGACAAGGAGAAGTGGGGTAAGAGCTGAAGAGTCAGCAAAGGGATAGGACAGACACTGGGGGACTGGGATGTCATGAAAGGTACAAGAAGAGGGTGTTGAGGGAGAAAGGAATCGACTAAACCCATGTCGATGAGAGGTCCGATAAAATGTAGCTGTACAATTGTCCATTGGATTTGGCTACCTGAAATTTGGTGACATGGACAAAAGCAGTTTTAATTGAGTGGTGGAAGCACAAGGTTGATTAGAATGGAATAAAAGCAGCATAAAAGGAGAGTGAGAAAGATTTTTTAGAGATGTTTTACTGAAAAGAAAAGCAGGTAGGAAGTTATGGGATATTGAGGAAATAATTTTGTCATTTTTGCTATTTCTGTTAATTTTTTTAAGAATAGTTTTATTGATTTTTAGAGAGAGAAGGAAAGAGAGAAAGATCACTGTGAGTGCAACATGGATCAGCTACGCCCCCCCCCCCC